GTCCAGAGGAGAGGTCTAGATTAGAGCAGCAGCACCGAGTGCAGACAGAAGACAGGGGAGGCGATGGCCTTGACACCACCAGCGGGGGAGGGAAGGAGGGTGGCCCCCTAGGAGGTCCAGGGAGATGAAGACTTGAAATCTCCATTAAACTGAGGAACAGGAGCTGAGTCTGCAGAGGGAGGGGACAGAAGCGAGACTATTGTGGGTCAAATGAAGCACAGAGAGTGAGGACATGGACAGCTAGCTTAGACATATCTCGGGGAGGTCACGGTAACGTGGAGGGGGCAGCGTGTAGCCGGCTGGAGGACACATGCGACGGCAGTAGGGCTCCCTGCTGGTGTTTGCGAAAGAGCTCGAGGACCCCCCACTCTCAGCACGAGGCATCCCTCACTCTCAGGGGGAGACACCTGTCCCAGGAGGCGGGAACAGCTGTTACTGAGCCCCTGGCAGGTGGAATGCAGCAGGTGGGACCCGCATGGTGAGACTGGAGTAGGAGCTGCACTCTCTCCTCTGACTGATGGGGATGGACCTGGGAAGCGGATGGTCCCAGGTCATCTAACGGATGGGAGCGTGGGTGTGAGAAGGATGGAACAAAAGTCGGGTTTGCAGACTGTGGACAAGCCAGTAGTCATGAGACACCAGCGTTGAGTGCTGCTGGGTCCTGAAACTGTTTTAGGCTGTCATCACATCACATGCCAAGTTCCGGTCACATCTTTACATCAGCCCTCCTCGACGCCCTGCACTGATCCAGAGGAAGCAGACTTGGGGTTCTTCTGGAGTAGGGATTTTGCTGGACAATGAGACAGGGGAGGGGCAGCGTTGAACGTACTGGCCATGGATCCAACCTGCATGAAAAGGAACACGCGGAAGCAGGGAGGGTCAAAGGGTCAGGACAACGTAAGAGAAGAGGTGAACTCACATAGGTCCCGGGGAGGTGAGGCAGCACAGTGGTGTTGGGTTTCCGAGTCTTAACTGTCCAACTTCCGACGTCCGGAGAGGGTGGGGGGGCTGGTCTCAGGCTGGAACATGGCCAGCGCCCATCCTGCACGTTGACTGTTCATTGCAGGCTCAGTAAAACAGACACATCAGCCAGGAATGTTCTTAGCGGTGACTTCTCGAGTGGAGTAGAAACACTTGGTAACTCACCAGATATGTAAGGATCCATGTCGGGGAAGCTGAGCTGACCACTGCCTTGTTTCTGGTTACCAGCCTGGTCAGTGTCCCTTTGAGGTGGCTGCTGGGGAGACACGGAGCTCCAGAACAGGGCTGATTCTCGGGGTCTGAACTCCACTGTGTGTCCTGTCCTGCTGTGAGGTGTCTTTAAGCACTAAGGCAGGGTCCCAGCCACGTGGCCCTCAAAGACCCCTTCTTCGTTCCCCCATGGGCTGAGACTGAGGTTGAGAGAGGGTGTAGGCAGTGTCTTCAAGCAACAGTGGCCTGAGGATCCCAGAGGCATGGATGCTGCACAGAGAGGACGTGATGGGGCTGGCCCAAGGCCAAGTGTCTGTGTGTCTCCTTGTCCTTGAGGACAAGGAGGGCTGTACGGTGTTGTTGGTCCAGACAGAGTGTGCCTGGTAGTAACTAAAAGATAACTCGTGCATCCGTCAGGATCCAGCCCAGGAAGCAGGAAGAAAATATTCATGGAAACATGTGCACGCGTCCATATTCAGGGATTTATTGCTAGGAATTGCTTTATGTGATCGTCGGGGCTGGATAAGCCACTCCCAAGTCCAAGACAGGGTCACGAAGGCAGGATCAAGAACGGGCTAGAACAGAGAGCAAGGGGCTTTTGAAGCCTGTGACTCCGAGGAGGGTCTGAGCCCTTCTCAAAGGGGTCATCTGATTAGGCCAGATCCACTCGGTTCATCTCCCTTGTGATTAACCTCAGGCTAGCCAGTTGGGGCTCTTAATCACATCCACACAACCTCTTGTGTCAGCACCTAGCTTAGCAATTGAGTCACTGGAGACTGTAGTTTGGTTTAGTCAAGTTGACATCAACCCAAACTGGCTTAGAAACTAAAGGGCATTCGCAGGCTCTCAGAACTGCCTGGAAATGGGCTTCTGAACTGGGAAATGGGAAAGGGACGCTGAGGAATGACTACCCATGGGTACAAGATTTCTTTTGGGCTGATGGAAATGTTCTGGCATTAGCGATGATAGTTGTGCCATCTTGTGAATATGCTAACAACTACTGAATTGTACACTTTAAAGGGGAGGTTTTGTGATATGTGAATTATAGTTCAATCAAAAAGTGTAAAAATAGTATGTAAAAAAAAAACCCTGAATTATAGTATTTAAAGAAAAACTAGGGTCAAAAAAATCATAAAATACCCTAGTTTATAGTCATCATTTCTTCTTAAGTTCATTTAGACCAAAAGGTGTGTTCCATTAATGTGGGCTTCAGTAACTACAGGAAATGGGATGGTATGATTTTGAAGTGAAAAGCTATTTCCCCTAAAGGGTTTCGGTGAGGTCGTAAATTGTGTGATGATGTTACGTGAACCCTGCAATTACAGTGGCTAAAGGCCATGTGCTGTATGTAGTTCATGGGCAAAATGAAGTCGGCAGCTCCGATGTTCTCCGATCAACTTACAGTCAGAGTTACTGGCGCTGCCCTGTTTTTAAAGAGGGACATGAACCAGGCCCACATCGGTGGGGTGACCAGAGGGACCTCAGGACTCCCTGCCTTCGACATTATTCACAACGAGTGGGGTAACCAGGATCGAATGGTTTTTCTTTTTTTTTTTTTCTCTATTATGCAATTTTTTTTTAACTTTAATTATTTATTTATTTTTTTTTCTCTTTGAAGTAATTTTATTTTATTTTTATTTTTTTATTTTTTTTATTTTTTTACAAATAGTTTATTGTCAAATTAGTTTCTACATAACACTCAGTGCTCATCCCCAAAGTGCCCTCCTTCATGCCCATCCCCCCCTCCCCCCCACATCCATCAGTCCTCAGTTTTTGTCAGCATTCAAGAGTCTCTCATGGTTTGCCTCTCTCCCTTTCCCCCACCATTTCCGCCCTTCTTCTCCCCCTTGGTCCTCCGTCAAGTTCCTCCTAATCCTCCTATACGTGCAAACATATGGTATTTGTCCTTCTCTGCCTGACTTATTGGTTTATCTATACCATGGAATACTACATGGCAATGAGAAACAATGAAATCGAATGGTTTTTCTAAAGTAACTTCTGGCAGCAAATGTTTCCTTGCATTTTCAAATGAAACCCTTGGGCGAAACGTTAAACACAGAACCACGTAATTTATGATGCAGCATGTGAAGGAATGTTTAAAAACAGAGAAGGAAAAATAATAAATAAAAAGGAAAGGTTCCCCAGGAAGACAATATACCATTTTAACTCTGTGGCCATACATCACTACACGAATACCAGCCTAGAGCCTGTTAGCTACATTCCGAGTAAACACGGAAGTCTCCTCCCTTACAGCATTCTACTTCTCCGGGCCTTCCGTTTCCTTCTTCGGAGTTTTCATTGCTCTGACGCTGTGGAGAATGTTTAGGTCTTCCTGTGAAAGTTGAGTTTCCACACCCCTCTACCCCTTCCTGCCCTTGAAACTTCTAGAAGGCAGTGTGCCCCTGAGGACTGAGCAGACCAGAGTCCCATGTCTAACCCTGGACCTGGGACACCCATGATGGTGGCATGATTCTCTCGGGGACCCGTCTGGGATGCAGGCTGGTGTTCACATGGGATCAATTTGAAATGATGCTGAGAACGATCAGTGTGGGTAGGAAGGGCTACATCGTCATGTGGATGAGCATCCATTCACGGTCAAGACCAAAGGGCTTCCCCCGTTCTTCCAGCAGCTGGGAAGGTGCCGGAGAGCTGACGTGCCCACCTGTGAGTGGCCAGAGCTTCACCCAATGAATGCAGTGGGGGACACTTGGAAGCGAATAGACCAGCATCCCTCGGAAAGAAAAGATTTGATCAGTGGGCCCCAGTGCCGGGGCGTGGTACAGCGGGCTCCTGGCCAAAGCCCCCTCACCAGAACGCCAGCTTGGAAGGTAAAGGCTGCGGACAGGTGGGAAAAAGAGGGAAAGCCATTTTAAGTTGGGCAGATGGGTTGAGGCATGTAACAGGATTGCTATTCTCCCTGATGGGGGGGAGGCCACTTTTCAGTAGAAGAAAATTCCCCTCGTGAGAGAGTAGCCTGTCTAGACAGTGGGGTGGACCTGTGTTAGCTCAATGCACGTATTTGACCTACGAGGGCGGCAATTTCATACCTCAAGTGAGTATTCGAAAGAGTTGGGTTTTGTTTTGTTTTTTTTTCTTTTGAGGGAACTTGAAGGCTTTCATTCCTTGGGGTCATCAAGGAGTCTTTGTCGTTAAGAAGTTACCTTGGGGTGAGGGCTCCCCGCCTGGCCCTACCTGTCCTTCTTCCAGTTCATTCCTTCCCCGACCTGAGGAGACTCTCCCCCTCCCCCTTCCACCCTTCCCCTCCCTTCCCCTCCCCTTCCTCACCTCTCCTCCATCTTCTTACCTTCCCCCTCCCCCTTCCTTCCCCTCCCCCTTCCTCTCCCTTCCCCCCTTCTTCTCCTTTCCCTGCCCTGCCCTTCTCCTTCCTCCCCTCCCCCTCCCTCCTCCTCTTTCACCTCCCCTCCCTCCTTCCTATCCCCTTCCCTCTCCTCTCCTGTCCCCCCCCCCCCGTCCCGCTGTCCTGAGCAGGAGCCCCAGGGGCTCTCTGCTCCAGGTGTGTCTGCCGAAGCACCCAGTGTCACAGTGCAGAGTCCCCTCCCCGCCCAGTAAGCAGTGAGGACGCCCTCACTGGAAGGTGGTGGGAAGCCAGACCCAGATTCTACACTGAGGCCTCTTCTTTTTTTTTTTTTTTTAATATTTATTATTTATTTTTGAGAGACAGAGCACGGCAGGGGAGGGGCAGAGACAGAGGGAGACACAGACTCTGAAACAGGCCCCAGGCTCCGAGCTGCCAGCACAGAGCCCGACGCGGGGCTCGAACCTGCGAACTGTGAGATGGTGACCTGAGCTGAAGTGGGGCGCTTCACCGGCTGCCCCCGCCAGGCGCCCCTGCCCTGAGGCTTCTCAGGCTCTGTGGTGCCCGAGCACGTGGACCAGCAGGGAAGGAGGAAGCCCGTGGCAGCACAGTCCCAGCGAACCCCGACCTCGCCTTTGCTGTGGGACTGGAAGTGCCTGGTGTGCACTGGGCTGTAGAGAGGAAGGAGACAGGGTGTACAGGAAAATCCTGGCCAGTGGCCAGCGGAGCGGGAGACTAGTCACCTCTGCCACTGCCCGTTCTTTTATGGGGACATCCTGAGGCACTGGGGGGAGAAGTGCAAAGAAAAGCAAGTGTTCAGAAACAAAGTTTCGTGCTCAGAATTGCTGAGAATATTCTAGCCACGGTCTCTGGGGAGGGTGTACGGGAGGTGCTACCAGGATGTGGCGTGGTCCTCACGGGCTTAGCCCACAGCACCTCCTGCAGCCTCTGAGGCTGAGGACATCCCTCCCCTACCTCTGGGCTCACTCCCTCCAACCTCGAGGTGCAGCCCACCGTGGGGGTCCGCCGGGCCCCTGCATTCTGAGCTCTGGATGGGCCTGAACCCCCCCCCCCCCCACTTCAGAGCCCTGGCCAGGTGGGTAGCAGGACTTCGTACTTGTCAGGGCCACTCCCTGAGGGAGCCCAGCCGGCAAGCCCCTGACGCCCTCCACGGAGACCCCCACCGCCCCTTGCTCGTCTGGTCTGGAGGGGAGTCCTGGCCGCTAGCATCTCCCCCTGTGGTCCCAGGACAGATGGGTGGGGGGCAGGGCATTCACACTGGGGGAGCAAGGCCATCGTGCCCTTGGGAACAGTGTCAAGGTCAAGGCTAAATGACTTGCCCGCTGCCCGGGGTTTGTAGGAGGCTAGTGAACCGACACTCCCCCGTGCGGCTGGGAGGCCCTCCGTTGCCTTCTCTGGGTTTGTTCCCGGAACCCGCCAGAGTGGGGCTGGAGGACAGGCGCCCGCGGGAAAGGTGGAAAAGCCCAGGCCCCACCCAGACACTCAGCCACCTGTCGGTGGCACTTCCGGGCCACAAGGTGCAGCAGCTCGATCTCACCTCTCTCCCCCGTGGCTGCTGCGGGGCACGTGTAGAGCATGGACTGTCTGTGGGGAGAGCTCGGCGTCCGGCCCTGGCCGTGCGCTAGGAGCCGCCCAGCCTTTGTGGAGCCCCTCCCCCAGCCTGGGCGGGGGTCCCCCACCTGGGATGGCGCATGCCTGTCCCCTGCGTACCTGGTCTGACCGATGGGGCTGCAGGAAGGCTCCACAGGACAGCTGCTCAGTGGGGTCCCTGGGGAGGGCTCGAAGGTGGCCCGGGGGGTGGCCGTGCCTGGTCTCTAAGCTGCTCCAGAGCCCGCCCTCTGGAAGTCCCTGGAAGGCAGGTCAGGCTCCCTGCCAGCTCTGCACATCGGTGTGCTTCCTGCTCCGTCTCCAGCCACTCTGGGGGCTAAACTGCCCGCTCTGGTCCCTCTCCGGCCACGACTCGCATGTCTCCCGGTCGTCTGCCACTGAGGTCTCGGTGCATTGACCTGATCGGAAGACAACATCACAGTCTTACATCCGTGTGAACCTTTTGGCTTCTGACACACCTGTCTGTGTCTTCTCCTCCCGCACAGCCCCTGGCTCATACTTGGGGGCACACGTGTCTGCATCTGTCCTAGGATGACACACTTTTGGCCTTGGGCCCTCCGCTCTGACACCTGATCTTCACTGACTCTTACCTAGAATGGAAACCAGAACTTCCACAGGGCTGGGCTCCTCTGCCATTGCCAAGTCTGGCCCATGGCATGAAGTGCAGGGAAGAACGCTTCCAGTCAAGAGTCATGTCCGGACTCCAGCCAGCTGAGGTCAGCGGGCAGAGCAGTGCTCCCTCGGCAACCCTGTCCCCGCATCTAGGTGACTTACGGGACCCTGGGGTGGGTACTGCCTGCCTTGAGGTCTGAGGGTCCCGAGGTCAGCAGCCCTGGCCATGCCCCGGGGCCGCGGACCGTGTGACCATTGCTGAGTCAGAGCCCGGGACGGGCTGTTTTCTTCCGGCCCTGGAAGGATCCAGGCGTCTCCCAGCCTTCATGTGCCCTCACTTCTCTGGGGTGGCCCACAGATGTCCTCCGGCTTCTAAGGGTGATCCACCCCCCCTTCCTTCCCACCTCTCTGCCCTGGGAACCTCAGGGACTCAACAAAGACACATAATTTCACATTGGCATGTGGGCTGGTGAGTCACAGTCAAGGCTGCACAAATAACCCTTTGCTCCTGGTCAAGGACCCCCAAAGCCCACATAAAGCGGAGAGAAATGGCTCGTGTTTCTTCTCTATTTCCTCTGAAGACAACTAGAAATTTCTTGCTTACTGAAGACACTGAGAACAGGAGCTAAAGGAACATGTGTTAATGTCATTTTTATTCACTGAGAAATCCTATAACTGAAGAGAAGAAAGATGACCTGGGAATATGAGAATCAGAAAGAGGGGAGTAGGGGCGCCTGGGGGCTCAGTCGGTTAAGCGTCCGACTTCGGCTCGGGTCATGATCTTGCAGTTCATGGGTTCGAGCCCCGCATCGGGCTCTGTGCTGAGCCTGGAGCCTGTTTCGGATTCTGTGTCCCCCTCTCTCTCTGCCCCTCCCCTGCTCACGCTGTCTCTCTCTTTGTCTCTCTCAGAAACAGATAAAACATTAAAATTTTTTAAATAAAATATATTAAAAAAAAAAAGAATGAGGGGAATGTCTATGTGGTCTTGAACTGTTGGCAGCGTAAATTGCTTCTGGTCCAGCTGGGGGGGCGGGGGGAGGACGGTACCGAGCGCATCGCCACCCCAGTGGTAGACACGGCCCTGGTTGAGTGGGGACCCTCCTTTACAAGCGCTGAGGCCACCTCAGCATTCAGACTTTATGTGGTGCGGGAGGAGGTCACCTAGAATACGTAAGGGGTCCAGACAACCTTTTCTCCTGATGATGAAATGTCTCAGCACGGTCTGCCCGTCGGACTCAGTTAAGCCCGGAAACACCCAACCCTTCACTTGTCGCTTGGACCAGAATCTAGAGTGTCGGCCATAGCTGATGAATTAGGTTAACTGACTTCATTCCCATCTCCTGGTGAGTGTGGTCCACCCTGAGGGCTTTGCCTTACGGGCAGAAAAGGTGACACCTTGGGTTATCTGGGACCGTGGAGAAATCAGAAATTGGTGGGACTCAGAGCCCAGCAGGTTGAGGCATCTGGGGGAGCCGGGGAGGCAGGGGGTCAGGAGGGAGGGAAGCATCCTACATCCAGAGAATGTAGGTTGTAATTTTGCCTAAGAGGAGACCCCTGCTCAGTGCCTTTCTGGAAATCATCTGGAAAGGTCATAAACTCAAAAGGTGTTAAAATCAAGATTCTCAGTCTGGTGTTATAGATACGTTACTTTGTAAACTTGGTAAGTTGGCTAAAACCTTACATTTCCTAGTGTGCAGTTGTTGACACTTAAAAAAACACATCGACTTTCTTAAGATTCCAAGGTGTTCCATCATAAGACAAACACACTTAACTCTGTGATACCTCCTCTGATTTCCCACTAACCTGGAGTTGGATGGCTTTTTGGTGCTTTTTAATTGTTTGTGTGTTTTTATCTTTAAATAAAAAACAAAACAAAACAATGTGACATCTTGACAGGTGGGAGAGACCGAGAAGAAACTTGTGAGGTATGAAAGAAAGACACAATATAAAATATCAATAACTATCCCAGAAACAATTAAAAAAGATTTTTAAAAAATGATTCCTGAAATGTTTAAGTATACAGAAACTTACGAAATATTAAAGGTAAATTTAAGTGTGAATTCCTCTCCTGGGCCATCATTTCTTACCAGAAGGGACTGGTAATAATTTCTTACCAGAGAGGTAGGAATCTGTTTTTAAAAGTTACATTAGGGGGCACCTGGGTGGCTTAGTCGGTTGAGCGTCCGACTTTTGCTTAGGTCATGATCTCGCGGTTCGTGGGTTCGAGCCCCGTGTCGGGCTCTGTGCTGACGGCCAGCTCGGAGCCTGGAGCCTGTTTCAGTCTGTGACTCCCTCTCTCTCTGACCCTCCCCTGCTCACGCTGTCTCTCTCTCTCTCCTAGAAATAAATAAAACATTTTTTAAAAAGTTACATTAGGCTACTTTATGTAGATAAAATATCAGCTGGGTACCAGTCAGGATCAGGACCTGGAGAGAAAAGGGAAGGTGTTTTCTATGGCTCCTTCTCAAAGTTGGAGGGTAGGTTTGCATAGAATCTATGTGGGTGTTAAAGACCTGAAGTTCCAACCTGCTAAAGATTAATGCTTTAAGGGGCGCCGGAGGGGCTCAGTTGGTTAAGCATACTACTTCGGCTCAGGTCATGATCTCGTGGTTCATAGGTTCGAGTCCTGCTTCAGGCTCTGTGCTGACAGCTCAGAGCCTGGAGCTGCTTCGGATTCTGTGTCTCCCTCTCTCTCTGCCCCTCCCTCACTTGTGCTCTGTCTCTCAAAAATAAATAAATGGAAAAAATTTAAAAAAAAATCAGCTTCTGGATTTGGTGACAATGACCCATTTGTATCTGACCCCGTAAGCACGTGCAGATTCCCGGCACAGGGGACAGAGGACAACTGGGGTTTCATTAGCTCCTCATTTGCTTATATGGCCTCAGGTGCTTGGGTCAAGGTTAACCAAGGATACCACACGTCTCTTGTCCATGATCCACACAGAAGGACGGACGTTAGAGGTGATGCTGGCCTGACTCCCTCAGACATGGAGGTTTGAGGGGCACATCTTATGGGGACACTTATGTCAGACCACTCATGGGGGCACATCTCTCCTTCTGGGCTGTTGACAGGGGCCGGCCTCCCCCTTCACCTGACCGTGTGGCAGGCCTGCAGGGTGACAGCGACACGGGCCAGCATGGCTTCCTCACATCACGTGTGCAGGCTTATGCACAGACGTCCATCTGAAGCTTGGGAAAGGACCAGAGGCGCTGGCCTTTGCACGCATCCTGGATGACAGCCTTACTCACCGTTACCGTGCACGATTGTCAGTGTTTTGCCTGTGTCTGCGGTGTTTAGGTGACAAGACTCCCACTCGAGGGAAGGGTGGGTGGCAGGGTGACAGTCTGTCTGGAGCCCAGCTTGGAGCTGGAGGAAACTTTGCAGACAATTCCCCAAAACACTTACTACCAAAAACAGCAGAAACAATAAGATAAAGTGGCGATTCAATTGTCACGATCCCCTAAGAAGTTTTGCCCGTCTGGTTAGAAAAAGCATTTCTGACCCACAAAATACTCACCAGTTTCCCAGCTGCGTGCAAGATTCCAGGTCTCAACCCACAGTCTCTGAAGCAAGCTTTCTAGAAAATTTGGGGATGACCTGGAGTTTCAGCTTATTACCACTTCCGCGGGAAGCAGTCCCTCCATTTAGATGGTCACGGGTCCTCTGTCTGTGCAGTTTCTTCCACGAGTGTTCTCACCCGGATGCGGCTGGGATGGTCCTTCTCGGGCACTGTCGCCCTCCAGCCCTGGGATGAAGAGTGGGGGTTTCCGCCTGCCCCCGCAGAGAGGACGCAGCACCCACACGCGTCACAGAGAGGTGGCCTTTCTTTGTCACGTAGCCCCTGCTGTGAGAGGGAATCGGCCTGCCTGCAAAGGCGGTTGGAGGAAACAGAACAGTGTCCCGGGCAGGAGACAGGGCCTCTTCAGCAGACGGGCCGCACAGCCTGTCCTGGCTCTGGTCACGACCCCGATGGGGGGGCGGGCCTTGCTCTGCCCACGCGGAGGAGGCGGCCTGCTCTGCGAGCCCGGCGCTGATATCTGGTGTCGCGCTTCAAGGAGCCTGCTCCTGACGGTGTCCTGTCCCTGGGGACAGCAGGAGCCCTTCCTAGCAGATCATCACGGAAGAGCCTGCGAGTGTTTTCAGCAGGACAATGGAGTCCGGGAGGCTGAAACCCATGAGCCCCGATTCCCGGGCATCATTTCACTGAGAGCGACAATACAGAGAATAAACCCCGCGCTCTGCACTTGGTGTCACAGCGTGATTGCATGTCTGGCTGAATCCCTAACCCGTTCGGTTACTGGGGCCTTGACTATCCAGCAGGGGTGCCTGGGGCCGCTCCACGGGGCGGGGGGGGGGGGGGGGGGGGGCAGTGACATCAGGGGACCAGAGCCGCTTGTGGGTGGGCTCTTGACAAGCGGCCACAGAGCTTCCCTGGGGACTGTCTCATCCACAGGGACACTGGGGATGTCCCAGCATCCTGGGAAGGGGGTTAGGGCAGCTTCTCGCCCTCGGCGCTCCCTCACCTGGACCAGCACTAGCACGGTTAAAACCCAGCGGAGGCAGGACCCGGCCTCTGAGCTCTTGTGCCCGTATTTCAGCCGCTGACTTGACTTCAGCCGTTTGCCTCCTGGCAGAGGGAACGCTTTGTTCTTCCTCGAAGCTGTGTCACTGTTACAAAGTAGAGATGTTGGCCAGAGGGGGCTGGACTCCTCACCCAGGAATGGAAAGCTGACCTAGTGTTTTGGGCAAAGTGAGCCCAGGGAGGCGTGTAGACACGTCTACACCAGCGGGTCTGGTTCCCGGGCGTGGAGGCTCAGCTCAGCCTTAGACCCTCGCGCTCAAAGACAACAGCTCTAACGAAGGGACCAAACTGCGTTCAGACGTTCATACTGCAGCCTTTCCTGTGTGTGCCGCCTTGTGCACTCTAGCCCGGGATTTCCAACTCTGTCCAACGGCAGTATTGACCTCTAGTCAGAGTTAACGTGGGATGTGTATCTGTACTATAAATGTGCGCGGACACTTAGGATATATACTTATATATTTTTACCTGAGTTTCACATTGCTTGACCTTCCTTAATTTCTGTCTCCAGGTCCCCAGATGACATTTATTTTTCAGCGCTAGCTTGTGGTCGCGTTGGTATGGATGATTTTCATGCCCTAGACTGAAATGCTTCTGGGCAGGGTTGCCGGCGGCTTATACTGCACACGGGCCACAGAGTCCAGTCTGCCGTAGCGGGTGTGCAGGGGGTTAAAGATTCCGGCTGCCTCTAGTTACAATGTTTCCAGCCAAGGAGTGTGTGCGAGAGAACAAAGTTCTCCAGACAGAATGATCTCTCGCCAGGTCTCCGCCTCCTGAACGCCCCTCCATCCTTTCTCTCTGGTGTGGGCAGCCGGGGGGACTCACCGAGGGTCCCCACTGGAGGGTTCCTTGTGTTCTTCCTAGACTTCAGTCCTTAGGGCGGGAGTGAATGGACAGTTTTGCTAATTAATCTTTAAAATGCATTGCAAAGAAAATAGACTTAAAGCCAGCTATCAAAGTAAGTGACATGGGGTAGCTCAGTTGGTTAAACTTAGTCGTTAGGCATCCGACTTGGGCTCAGGTCATGATCTCAC